CCAGGGCCCCCCACACCCCAGCTGTGCCTGACCCACACGGGGGTCCCCCCCCTCTCCCAGCCGCGGGACCCGAGCGGATCCGCGTGTGTCGTCCCCCCCCTCCTCAAATCCAGGATGGAGGGGCGCGGGGAGACGGGCGAGGAGGAGGAGGAAGAGGAGGAAGAGGAAGAGGAGGAAGAGGAAGGGGTGCGCATCACCCCCCAGCTGCTGAAGGCCACCACGGGGGAGTTCGCCCTGGAGTCCATCCTCCTGCTGCGGCTACCGGGCCGGGGAATCGGCCACCTGGGCTGCTTGGGCGACTGCGCCAACCTGGAGTGGTTGGACCTTTCGGGCAACTCCATCGCCCAACTGGGGCCACTGGCTTCCCTCAAATCCCTGGCCGTCCTCAACCTGGCCCGTAACCGCGTGGCCAGCCTGGAACCCCTCAGCGCTTGCCAAAACCTCCAGAGCCTCAACGTGGCCGGTAACCGGGTGAGCAGCCTGCACCAGCTGCGGTGCCTGGCGGGGCTGCGGCGCCTGGAGAGCCTGAGGCTACGGGATCCACTAGCCCGTTTGGCTAACCCGCTCTGCCTCACCTCCCCCGCATACCGCGCCGCTCTGGCCGACATGTTGCCCGGCCTCAAAGCCATCGACGGCGAGCGCCTGTCGGGTCGGGGCAGTGAGTTTTACCAGCTTTGCCGGGATCTCGACAACTCGCTGGGACGCGGCGGCGGCACTGGTGGCAGCACCGGTGGCACCGGCTCCCAACAGCCCCGGGTGGCTCAACCCTGGGTGGAAGCGGGTTTTTGGGAGCCCCGTCCCCCCCGGCGCAGCTCCATCATGGAAGAAGCCTACAGACAGTTTGGGGAGGTGCTGCAGGAATGCCGGGAGCTGAGCCGACGCGCCGACGACACCATCGCCCAGGCCGAGCGGGCGCTCAGCACCCGCCCTGACCCCAACTCCTTCGTCTTCTGAGCCCCGAGACCCCCCCACACACACTCCCCACTCCCACGAGGTGTCCCCCCCAAGTGCCACCACCACCCCGTCACCGAAGGAGGAAACCACAGGAACACCAGACACACGCCATCATCACCCTGGGGGTCCTCGTCCCCTGCCCCCCTCATCCCGCAGGGAATTTGGAGCCATCCCCAAGCTCCCCAGCCTGGAGGGGGAGACTGGGGGGCTGGGAGGTGGGGGGGGGCTGCTGTGGGGCCAGGTGACGTGGTGGGGACACCGTGGGGCTGTGCAGTAAAGGTGTGTTGTCCTCACAAATCCCTCTCTACCGCGTCATCCCGGGGACTCACCTCTACCCATCGCTCTGCCCCGACCCACCGTGTCCCCGTCCCCCCTCCCGGGCTGGGGACAAGGGGCAGGGGGGGGGGACACGGCCGGTGGCGGAGGGGGGGGAGCTGGT